CGCAATAATTTTTGCTCAAATAATATATTTGATATTTAAAATTTATTAAATATATAAGAATATTAAAGTTAAAATTCAACCATTAACAATTGAATACGTCGTTCTAAAATAAAGAATCAACCTAAAAAGTTTTCAATCATTTAAACATGTCAAAAAAATAGAATACTGGAATTAAAAGATTACTTAAAAAATGGGAATTTAGGTAGAGGACTAACTTGCAAATCACCAGTGCTGCAAACCCTTCTCATTTGACCAGAAGAAAAGCAATTTTCAGGGGAGGTAAGTGCAGGTGTTTGATAATTTGTAGACTCAATTAAACTATCAAACTGAGGTGTAAAAATGGAGAAACTTGGTTTATTATCAAAAGAATGGCTGCTAAAACTCCTTTGCATCAACTTCACAGCATTTTCAGCACAACTTTGAGGTACCATTAAAGGGTTGCTGATACTAGAACTAGAACCAATAAAATCAGACTCAAAGTTAACTTGAAATTCCTCTGCTTTAACAGAAAAATCACCAAATCCATTTAAAGGAATTGTTTGGCAAAGTGAAAGATTTTCAAGTTGATGACTTGGAGGTGAAGAGGAAAGAAGAACTGAGGAAATTTGATCAAAAGAAGTTGTGTCATCAATTGGGGTTTCTTGAATTATTGTGAAGTTGTTATCTTGGATATTATTTTGGAAGATATTACTATTAGTATCAATAAAAGATGGAGAAAAAGGGTCAGAAAAGAAAGTGTTGTCAAATACAAAAAGTTCAGAAGACATTGAAATTGAAATCTTGGAAATAGTTTCAAATCTCTTTGATAAAAATAAACTCTCCCTTTTCTTGTTCCTTCTAGTGTGGCTATAATAGTAATACACAAAGCTATTGTTACAGGACAAAAATGTAAAAATAATTGTAATAGTGGGGGGAGGGTTGGGGGAAGGGGGTTCTTTAATCAGAACTCTTTGTTGTCAGTGACATAGGAAAATGACAAGAAACTCATTTCTCTCTGATTTTGCTCTGATTTACTGAAGAAAGGTGAAACAGTAGCTGTGTACTATTGCTTTTGAGCTTTTTTCTGAAAGATAGGAGAAAGAGGACAATTTAAATTTGGACTGCTCTACACTCTAAGCAAATATAAAATCAGACAAGGAAAGAAGACTAGTTCCACTTCCACTATATAAAGGAGGAGATTTTGCAATCAAGTCCTTCAAGTTTTACTTTATTCAAGAGTTCTCCATATATTTTTAGCACGTGTTTTCAATTTTTTTTTAAAAATTTTGAAAGGAGCCTACGAACAGAGACAGATCTAGGATTCCGGAAAGATGGGTTCACCATTACTTTTAAGATAAATATTAATTTTGATGACATAAATTTTTACAGTACAATAACGTAGGGAGCAAAAAATAATTAATTTCATTATCACAAAAAAGAAAATATCATCAATTTACAATTGTACTCGACGAGTTTTCATACTTTAAAAACGATCTATAATAGCATCATTGCTTACCGTTGCAAATAACTTACGCTCTATATTGCAAACTAAACAACCATTCAAAAATTCTTCACTAATGCCATTACGTAGATCATTTTTTATGAGCTTCATTGAGGATAATGCTCTTTCCACGCTTGTAGTAGCAACAGGTAGAATCAAAGTCAGCTTCACGAGTAAATAAACATAACACCAAGTTTGGTCCAGTTTTGTCTTTGCCATCACTATAGCAAGATCCTTAATTCCCTTCAAGTTGACAAACTTGCTATCACACATTCGAACATAGACAATGAAACTATCAAGCTGAAAACTGAGATCTCGAAACTGTTGTCATCAAACTCACTTGGATAATACTCGGCCAATTTCATTATTCTGTGTTTGTCAAAATTAGCAAATGAATCGACCGAATTCAAGCAAGTCATACCAAGGAGTAAGTCACTAATCACTACATCAAAACTACTATTTAGCTCATGAAGTTGCAAATCAATAATTGCATAAGGGTTTTTATGTTTTTTGAATTTTGGGATGAATTGGGATTAGATTAGGAATGGATAGTATTATATTTGGGGATGGGGAAATCCATAAAACTCCAAGCGTGCGGGAATTGGGAAGTGCTTTAGAGTTTTAAAGAACAAAAAGAAAAGTTGCGTTAATACAAATAGAAAGAAAAGAAATATTTAAGGCAAAGCTGCGTTAGTAGAAATAGAAAGAAAAAGTATATTTAAGTAAAACATTAAACAGAACAGAATGTTGGGAATCGATCTTGTGACCTTAGGCAACTGGAAATAAGAGGCCAAAATAAGTGCACCACTTCACCTCTTTTGACCATGGTGTCTATCCAATATATATATATATATATATTTTGCCAAATTATATACATCATATATATATTTTAACAGGAGGACCACGTATTTGCGTGAACCATATTTTACACGATAAATCTGGCCCTGACTACGAAGTACTTAGTACTAGAACTAGAATTTAGGTAGTTTCGAAGTAATTCTCTTTTCCTATTTTACATAACACTTATAATATTTAGTGAGTCCAATAACATATACTAAGCTAGCGATTAGACATAGATTTGACAAAAATTTAAAATAGAGTTTTTGAATTGTGTTAAAAGATAATTTTTGGAAGTTGAAGTTGGGTTTGGACATAATTTTTATTTAAAAAAAAAAGTTGAAGTTTTGTGACAGGAAGAAAACCCTAAACTAGTTTTTGGGAAATTGAAAAAAAAAATTAATTTTTTTTCAAAACCTGATCATATTCCATGAACAAATAATATTTTTAATTTTTTTTGAAAAATAATAGCAGCCAAAATCTATGGCCAAATGGGAGCTGAGATTTATTGAATACATATTATCTCTTTTTAGTGAGAAAATGAAAAACTACCTTATGTTTGATGTTCATTTTTTCTAATCCCTCAAATATATTTTTTGAGCAGTTTTAATCTTTGAATTTGTTGAAATTGAACACTTTTGATCTCTCATACAATATGCGTGATTTTCTTTTATCATTGTCCCCTTTCCTGTTCCCCATATTCAATCTCGGAAACTACCAACTATATCCATTTATAAGAAGTTTATTATAAAAATTTGTCAATTCACAAAATATTACTCATATTAGCCAAATGTTATCAATATTAACCAATTAACTATTTGTAGCCAAAAAATATCATATTTGTATTTTGTTTTGAGCGGGTGTTGTTAGAATAGATTTGGTACATCTTAAAGAGTTTGAAATTCAATTTTGGGATTATTTGGTGGAGTTTTGAGGTGGTTTGAATTGAAAACTCGAAGTAGAAGATGAACATGAAAAAAAATGATATGTGTATCACACTCTGTCATATTTGTATATCACATATGTATCATATCTGTATCAAATGTATATCACATGTATATCATGTATATCTGTGTGTGTGATACATGCGTGATACATTTTTTATACATGTGTCGTAGAAGTAATTTTTGAACTCGATTTTAATTATGAATTTTGATACCAAATCAATCCAAATCACCTCCAATCTTCTTCAAATTTTGTATATTGACTCATCCATATAATTTCAATGAATTTCAACCATACCCACTGAAAAAAATTCTTTTTTGCTTAGATTTTAGAATCTTGTATATATATTTTTTTGTATTTCATTACCTTGTTTGCTACCTTATTCATGAATTTCCTTTCCGTCTTGCATCTAATGTTGCTAATCAAGCTTTAAAATATGAAAGAAAATCTTTGCGTGTGATTCTTGAAGAGAAAAAGCTTATTTATTTGAGTTTTATATGTGTTTGATTAGTTTTGATAAGTCTATAATTAATGACTAAAGCTTGATAAGTTAGGATTTATTTGGACATTTATGTAAGATTCCCTCCGATCTCTAACGTAAGGGACAAAAAGTTAACAAAAGAGACTCATTAACACTAAGGTACTCCACATTTTGACCACTAACTTTGCGAAACTAACCTAATTCATCAAAGTTGTAAAACTTGTAAGGTTCAATTTTTGCAAACTTAGAGGCAGCGCCAACTGGGCTTTCTTCTTCTTCCGAAAAAAAATCAGAAATAACCCGATTTGGAACTGCTAATTGAAAATTAACCACAATTTTAAACGTTCTTTCATGTAAAAATAAAATCTAAATAAAAATATCTTTAAAAATTCGGAAAAATTCCAGCATAATATGATGGAGTTGGATTTTTGTTCATATGAGATTCTGACAAAATATGCTAGAATTTCATAATTTGTTGAAGTTCCAACATAATATACTGGAATTTTATACGCAGGAGCTCCATAATCCAATATATTATTTTGAAACTTTCCGTGTTTTAGTTAGTATATTTTTGTCCAGATATTATTTAAGCATAAAATAATGACTATTTTTCAATTACCGAAAACTCGCAAGCCATGCTATTTTGACCTTTCTTCCTCTTCTCTTCTATTTTTGTGCTTATAGCAGCATAGCTTCCTCTCTCAGTATAATACAATAACAACAATCCAGTATAATTTACTAGTGGGGTCTGGGGAGGGTAGTGTGTACGCAGACCTTACCCTGCCTTGGGGTAGAGAAGCTATTTTCGATAGACCATCGGCTCCCTCCCTCCAAGAACTCTCCATCTTGCTCTTGGGGTGACTCAAACTCACAGCCTCTTTGTTGGAACCACTAGTATGGAATAATGGAGTTATAAAAGGTCATCTGGTTTCGTTCATTTGCCAATTGAAATAAAACATACTGCTTGGTTTTAGAATTTGATGAATGTTAGTTTGTTTGATAATTTAAAAACGAAAAAAATTACACTTTTTGAGCTTATTGTATACAACAACCAAAGGGCAGAGAAAAGAGAGACAACTTGACCATGGGTTGAATATCTCTCTAACCAAAACAAATTTAGACCATAGAAATTTTTGGTGTACAAGATTCATTCAATGATCCACCGTGAAAAATGGAAAAAATTGGACGGTTTTGTAAAAGACACATCATCAGTATAAAAGACACTAATTGAGAATAGAATTGATTTTGGCTCTTTGCGAAAAGACGCTTCGTCTTCGTCGACGAAGGTCCAAACTTTTCTTATAAACAATTTTAAAAGGGGTTTCATATTTCATAGTATTCATTAGTAAATCTGAGATAGTTGAGGAAAAAAAGAAGAAAAAATGGCGTCATCACAAGCATTCATTGATAAGGCGAAGACCCGTGAATTTTATCAAAATTTCTGGCGCACTGATCTCTTGAACACCATTAAAGCTGATACCGGATGTATGTTTATATGACACTGTTACTATTTGAATAGTCAAACAATCGTTTCTAATGTTTTCATTAATAAAAGATATATGTAAAAAAAAAATTATTTATATAATAACGGAGTATGTTTGAATTGATACTAAAAATCTATGTTACTCGGACTCTTAACAAAAAAATCGCTCGATGTTTGTTGGATCCTCCAAAAATAAGTATTTTTGGAGGATCCGACACATGTGCGATAGCATTTTTGGAGGGTCCAAGCAATATAGCTTAAAATTGAATCATTTGATCCTAGTATTCAAAGCCACATTATTCTTTTTTAAACAAATGGAGTATTTTGTATATGAGAATCAAAAGTGTAATTATACGTGTTTGTTTGTGTATTTCTAATCGTTTAAATTATCATGTTTTGTATGCAGATTGGTGTTTTGCCTTGTGGTGGTGAGTTGTGTATTTATCGATGTTATTTTCCTCCGATGCTATTGATTTGCTACCTTGATTTGTGTTTATTTCCTGAATTTGGTTGCTATGTCTAAATCTAGTGATTGGTTACCTTGAATTGTTGAAAACGTTAATATCTTCCACCATTTTATATCAACTAATGACTGTCTTCATAAAAAGGAAACGTGATTTGGTTTAGCACCAATTTTGTGAAATTACCTTTAACAATTTCACCTAAAGAATTGAAAGGGTAAGGACTGTATCTGCAGATATTTGTTCATTCCTTTATTATTGATCAAACTTATATCTTTTTGCATAATATACACAATTCACAAGGTTAGCATCGAAAACATTGGATTTAACGTCAAGTCAATACAGCAGTGGGGGGTGTGTGTGTGTGTGTGTGAGTCTACTTTGTCAATTGTATTTAGATGCAGAGGTTTTTTGGGATAAAATTCTCTGAATTGATTCTTGTTATCAGTTTCGTGACGTTGCTCAGCCATTGTACTGATCAATATTTGATTATACAAATACGTAATTTTAGTATTTTAAGTGACTTCATCTCTAATATCAACTGCAGTTCACCCTGTGCATCCTATTTGCTTCGGAAACGAGCTTTATATGGTGATATGAGAAGGTAAGACACTTTCTCTTTCTCCAGTAATACATTTGTCTAGTCGATCAAAAATAATATTATAGCCGCTAGCAAAATATACAAAAAATATACACTGATCATGACATTATGTATAAAATATGTATATTATACATTAATATACAGACTATATGCATTCCGCTATTATTTTGGAGAGAGGCTACCTTTCTAATTAACAAATTGCTGTATGCTACAGGTATAAGTGCTGCGCTGGTTATATGCCTTGCAGTGGTAGATGCGGAGAAATTCATTGCCCTGAATTTTGCCTTGCAACTGAGGTCAGCAAATTAAATTGTTTGTTCATTCATTTAGAATCAGGAACTAAATGCTGCATATTCGTGATTAATTCTGCTGTGATACTAAAAGAGCAGCTCGTGCACTAAGCTTCCCGCGTCCGGGGAAGGACCGGACCACAAGGGTCTATTGTATGCAGTCTTACACTGCAAAAGATTGTTTTCACAGCTTGAACTCGTGACCTCCTGGTCACGTGGCAACAACTGTGATACTGATCTATTGATTTTAACCACCAGGTTTGTTGTTGCTTTGGAACATCAGTGAGCTCAACTCGCTTCCTGTTACAAGATGAACTCAACATAAAAACAACAAAATGTGATAATTGCATTATTGTAATTCTTCTAACTCTTCCTCATTTAATTAGTCCATAGTACAATTTTGAAATGCAATTTGATCAATAGACATGTCTTTATTCTTCCTTCGTTACTAGGGTTTCATGGTCGTCCTCGGATATCTTGCTTGCCTGTGTAGAATTTTGGCTGTAGTTACTGGAGACGACGAAATTGAAGATCTTGCTCATGTGTTAACATGCATGTCTGACACAGTCTACTACTCGTAAGCTCTGCACATTCATCACACTCTATTTATTTCAGTAACAACTCAAGATTATAAATTGTTGTACTAAATTTGCTGCATTTGATTGCAGGGTTTGTGCCTGCATGCAGGTAAGCAACCGAAACTTAATCAGTAATAGTTTTATCATTTAAGCTTACTACTGTTTATTGAGATTGCAGACACAACACAAGATTGAATTGGACAAAAGAGATGGCAAGTTTGGTCCAATGACTGTGCCACCAGTTCAGCAGATGTCACGGCTTGATCAGCCTTACGCGCCCACTGTTGGATATCCTCCGTCATATGGTGCACCACCGCCTTACGGTCAACCACCACCGCAACAAGGTTATCCGGCTACTGGTTACCCACCAGCCGGAGGTAATTATCCTCCCGGAGCTTATCCGCCACCGCCACCACCTGGTTACTGGCGATGAAGTTTTTGAAAATTTAGTACTTATGTCATTTCAACTACGTACTAAAGAAGCTGTATATGATTTATCTCTACGATCATATAGGGAGGGCGTTTATATAGACCACAAACTTGAAAGCATTTATATTTTGCTTGTTCTGAGGTTGTCTAGATTTCCCTGCTCATGAAAAATGTGTAGTAGGCTTTTTTGTGATTACCAAAATAACATAGCATTTTTGTGTATCATAGAGTTGAGTTATTTTTGGTGTTTGGATATTACATTCATTGTGGACATGTGATGTGTTAACCCAAATGAAAAATTCATTTGGATTGTTGTTTACTAGCTAAATTAACTTGGGTCATGTATTTATAATGCATAATTTTTGCTTCTTATATGCTCTAATTTGTATCTTCTATGGCCTTATAATATCTCTATGATTTGAAGAAAGGTTCGTAATTGCAGGGTTTGTAGTAAATTAAAGTTCAAAAATTCGTCATGCATTAACAGATATGATAAAAGATGGTCATGGATTTCCCCTTTTTTGTTTTTTTGAATTTTTTCAAGAGTTCGTGTTACTTCGACAAGCTAAGATACAAGTTCTTTATAGAGTTACTGAAGCTCTTGAATCATGTTTTCGCAATTTTATAATCCAATTTTACAATATCTAAGTGATCTAAAAGAGCATACACTACTTACATTAAGATGTATGAAATATTTTCTTTTCTGTTTTTTGTTATAAGAAAATACTTTTAAAAATAAAACTGTAAACATGTAAATTTTTATGGAATTCAAGTCAATATTAAATTTGGTCAAATTGCTAGATTCAAGAAATACCAAGCCCAAATCCAATTTAAAATTATGAAGAATTAAGACCATGGATTTAAATTAAAGTTCTATTTTATTTGGGCTAATTCATTTAGTTGGATTCCAAAAGACGAGCCCATTTTACTAGTCCAAAGTCCAAATAGCTAGCCCGTCTTAAAGCTCATACTCATGCCATGTGTCAAGTGATTTGGCAATTCAAATCAAATAAATGAGCCATGTGTCTAGAAAGGGTGGCATGCCAAGTCAAATCAACAACTAATAGAGTTGTGCCAAGTGTTTAGATATATAACATTTGTTAGTTCAGACAGACCAATCAAATCACACAGTCACACCATCCCCTGCAACTATAAATAGAGGTATTCATAAAGCTAGAAGGGACCAGAATTGAGAACAAAAAGCAAGTAGAGAGCTCGTGGATCAAAGGCTTTAGTTTTCTCTACAAGCTACAAATTCAAGCTCAAGATCAAGAACGAAGGCAAATCAAATACCAAGGCGTTCAAGATCAAATTATTTGTTCGTGATCAAATCCAAATTCAAGTTCAAGAAGAAGATTCAAGACCAAACTTTACAAGCCCTTGAATCAAATCAAAATCATGTTTATCAAGATACTTTACATTCTTTAAGAATCAGAGGAATACCATATAGATTGTAACACTCACCATTTATTGAAATCAAATGCTACATTTGTTACGCAATTTTCTAGTCTTGATTATTTATTTTTTTCGATGCCAAAATTTATTGTTACAAAAGCATTTTCATTAAAAGGGGGAAAATGGCTTCCCTCACATATTGACGGAATTCATTTTCCTTAAAACTATTTTTGTTTTTCATGTCATATATATCACCCGCTCTAACTATGTACACTTATACATTGTTATTAGTCTATAATACTCAAATATTTCACTATAGCATTACGCGGTTTGCTAATAATTAACATGCTAAAATATATTATTTACTCACCAACTAAATACTAGTAGAAAATGCTTTTCAAAAGAAAAGTTTTTATGAAAAATATTTTCTATAAAAAAAATAACGTTCATTCTATCAAACACAATTGTACTTTTTTTTTCTTTTCATCTTTTTTCCTTGAAAAAGACCGAGAAGTTAGTGATGAATTAGGAATTACATGATGAGGTGTTAGTGTACAGTAGTAGGATATTATTATTTATCTGTTAATAGTATGTATGTGTACACCTAGAGTTAGTTAGGAAGTTAGTGGAATGAGTTGTCTATATGTAGGTGGTTAGCTCAATGTAACACTTTACTTTCTTTCTCTTTTCCTGAAATACAGAGTTCAGCTCCTTCTCTTCTCTATCAACTCTGTTATGGCATTATCAAATTAGGGATTTCATTGTTGATTATCACAATTTCTTCATAGTATCAGAGCGATTGAATCGCGATTACGAGTAGAATCCGTCGATCTTATTCAATTCACAGTAATCTCAACCTTCAAATTGCAGTTTGTGTGTAAGGATTAACAATGGTGGCGAAAACATATCTTGACCACAATCACCCACTATTTCTCTACCCATCGGATACCACCGGAGCTCCGATAATCTCAATTAAGTTGATTGGTTCAGAAAATTATTCCACCTGGAGTCGTGCGATTGAGATCAAGCTGTTAGGAAAGAACAAGCTAGGGTTAATCGACGGTACTCTAAAAAGGGGGATTTTGATTCAGAACTGGGTCATCAATGGGATAGATACAATGCTATTGTCCTAGAGTGGATTATGAGCTCAGTATCGAAGGAATTGATTACTGAAATACTATATGCAAGAGATGCGAGAAAAGTGTGGGAAGATCTGAAGGAACGATTTGATAAAGTGAATACATCACGAGTGTATCAACTACAAAAGACTATAGCGACAATAACTCAGGGAACACACAGTGTTTCAGTTTACTTTTCTAAACTCAAATATTTATGGGACGAGTTTGACAGCATAGTTCCTCCTCCATGTGACTGTGCTATATCAATGAACTTCATCGAATTCATGCAAAAGCAGAAGGTATTGAAGTTTCTGATGGGCTTAAATGACAACTATGAGCAGGCTCGTAGCCAAATTCTTATGACCAGTCCAACACCAAGTTTCAACAAAGCATATGCAATGCTTGTTGAAAGGGAAAGTGAGAGGTCAGTGGCTAATACATCTACTGTTGGTGAAGGGATTGACTTAGCTGCCTTGCTAGCTGGTAAAGGAGGAAATTACCAGAACTATCAGAAACCAAAGAGAAACTGGAATGTACAATGTGATTTCTGTCACATGAAGGGCCATACAAAAGAAGGATGCTACAAGATAATTGGTTACCCTCAAGACTTCAAGAACAAGAAGAAAGGGAACACAAATACGGCATATAATGTTCAGGTTGAGAATCTTAATCCTAATTTTGCAGGTGCTGATGATAGGAGACGAGAAATACCAGAGGCAATAAAGGAAGGAAACTAGCAAAGAGCACCTCAACTCACAGCAGATCAGTGTGATTAGATCATGAAGCTGCTCAACAAAGATCCTCTAAAGAAGTTATGGCTAACATGGCAGGTACAACTTACTCGTTTATGGCTAAGATAGCAAAGGAAAATTGGATAGTCGATTGTCACAACCCAAAATCTCACTTGTCGTGATGACGCCTATCTCAATACTAGGCAAGCTGAAAATCTCAATAAACCACCATTTCTTTTAAATTTGAAAACAAAATAATTAAATTCAGCGAAAAAAATCTCACAATTTCAAATATAACACTCCCATAACCCGGTGTCACTGAGTGCATGAGCATCTAATATGAATACAATGTTTGACTGATAAAAATCACTACCTGAAAGTATAGAACAATACAATAACTGAAGGGAAGAGAGACAAGGCCAGCGGACGCCAAGCAGCTACCTTGATAGTCTCCAACTGATAGTACTCTGAAATCTAACAATCTCCGTGTTCGAAAGCACCTGGATCTGTACACAAGGTGCAGAGTGTAGTATGAGTACAACCAACTCAATAAGTAACAAGACTAACCTCTGGGCTGAAAGAAATGACGAGCTCCGCAAGTACAGTCCAGTATAACTAATGGTACAAAAATATAGGCATGCTTTCAAGTTCAACCGTTAAACTCAATACAAATAAAATAGATCAACACTGCATGATATGAGGAATATGACATCTCAGTAGAAAGACCTCATATAAATACTGATCACAAATTATCCGGTCACTCGGTACTGTTTGTGGCCAATCCAGCCCGGGGGTATTCCAACCCGTATATATATATACACATCAACTGATAGTCAGTCATTCAGTACCGTATAAGGCTAATCCAGCCCTGGGGTAATTTATCCCCAAATGTAAATGATACGGACAAGATCCGTGTTCACGGAAAATTCATCACAATACAAATAAGTAAGGCAAGTCCATGCCCTGAGAAAACTCCATCCCGAATATATATATAATCAGTAAGTAAGGCGAGTCCATGCTCTGGGAAGTCCATCCCGAATATATATAATCATTTACGCTCACTTGGGGTGTGTACAGACTCTGGAGGGGATCCTTCAGCCCAAGCGTAATACAAAGCCAATGTGGCCTACTGCAGGCGGGCAGTCCCGATCCATAAAATAGTAAAGCCAATAAGGCCTACTGCAGGCGGGCAGCCCCGATCCAGAACAATAATAATGTATAAAGCCATTCTGGCCTGCTGCCGGCGGGCAGCCCTAATCCATTTAATAATAACATATATAAAACCAATATGGCCTGCTGTGGCGCGTAGCTCGATCCCATAAATATCCTCACAATTGACGAATATGACTGAGTGTGAAATGTATATTTTTTGAAACAATTAATTCAACAGCAATACGATCCCATGGGTCCCAAAATATCGGCACGTAGCCTAAACATGATCTTTAATAAGAGCCTCGTCTCAATTTATCTAACACGTGGGGAAATGTTCATATAATAACATGATTCTTTAATCTTTATAACTGCACAGAATTTATTCAAGATACAATTTTTCTAGTGCGCGTCCACATGCTCGTCACTATCGTGAGTGTCACCTCCAAACAATTTATATCATAACAATTCATACCCTCAGAACCAAGTTTAGAAGTGTTACTTACCTCAAACCGTGTAATCCTTTACTCCGGTATGTCTTTGCCTCGTGAATTTACCTCCAAACGCCTTGAATCTAGCCACAATTAATTTGATTTAGTCAATAAAATTTATTGGAATTAATTCCATATGAAAATATAATTTTTCCATAAAAATCTGAATTTTAACTCCAAAAATTGCCCGACATCTCGGAACTCGACAAAAATTACAAAATATGAACGCCCATTTAACCACGAGTCTAACCATACCAAAATTACTAAATTCCGATAACAATTCGGCCTTCAAATCATCAAATTTATCCAAGAGGGTTTTCAAACTTTTCCAACTTAATTCACCAATTAAATGATAAAAACAACCATGGATTCGGGTAATTTAACCAATATTGAGTTAAAAACACTTACCACGTTGTTTTCTCTGAAAATATCTCA